GAGGGAGAGAGAGAGATACCTTGAATATCGGTGGCGTCGGAGCTTGGCTGCTGCACTGGTTGTATGAGAGTTTTTGTTTTCTCTGTGTTTTCTACGTAGAGAGAGAAAGAAAAGAAGAGGCGTGATTGAAAGAGGAGACCAAGGGAGATAGAGAGATATATTGTATGAGTGAGAGAAAGAGAGAGAGAGAGAGAGGTACATGAGCAATAAAAATATAGAGTTGTATGTGGGATGAAATTGGGAGAAAGATGAGGCGTGAGAGATTGGGAGAGAAAGGCATGAGTGAAAAAATCTTGTTAGGCGGGAAAACAAACTTACGTTTTCAATGTATGGATTATTAGTATTTTTACCTTCCAAAAAGAACATTAATAATTTTAGTAGCACCACCTATGTAGGTATGTTTTGGTGGTACACGTTTGATGCTTGGACTGTTAGATCTGTCGATTGAGGTTAAATAGAGGATTTGAAGATAAAAATTTCTCTGCAACTGCGTATAACTTACGTTTTTTATGCTTTGGCTTATGGAGATTTCTAAAGGTTGCAAAAAATATCAAAGAATAAGGTGTTTCTCTATATCAACCAAACGATAATGACAATTGTGTACTTTATTGGGCTACTCTCAACACTTTTGGAGATGTTGTACAATAAGTAATTGAAATATTCTTAATTACTTCTATTTGGGATTGGTTTGTTCATTCTTAAAATTGGCATTAGTGGGATAGGATTGTTCATCATTAAGATTGGGTATTTTTTGTTTCATATTCAACTTTTTGGCTCTTTTCTGGTATATTTAGTTTTAGTTTTTTCCTTTTTTTTTCTAATTTAGTTCTTTTTGTTTAATTGTCTTATTTTTAGTTTATAGTTTATTTATGCCCCCCCAAAAAAAAATCTATGGTTTAGGATTTGATATTGACAAAAGTAGAGAGGAATGGAGAGAATATTGACTTTTTCATTTGTGATTTGAATATTGCCTCTCATCTCTCTCAATGTTGGTCTTACATTTATGAGAGTATCTTGTGGTTCTTTGAATTGGGTGATTTTGATTTGTGAATTCGNACTGACCAAGAAGAAGATCATAATGAAGACAAAAAGGACTTAATTATAAATTAGTTCAAAAGAACAATCAAAATCCATGGAATAAATAGTTGCAAAAATCAAACAACCCATTACCCACAGAAATAAAAAACAAATCCCTGTCAGTCATTTTTTCAAACATCTTTCGAGCAAGCCCAGAAAATGCAAATCACCAAAATTGTAAGCATACTCAAATTAAAAAAAGAGCAAACTCTATTGGNCGTAATGAATCATTTTAAAAATGACTTTTAAAACCATAATTGTATTTGGTTGTAATGGTATTCCNCGTAATGAATCATTTTAAAAATGACTTTTAAAACCATAATTGTATTTGGTTGTAATGATATTCTNGCAAACTCTATTGGGAACTGGAATTGAAACACAACTGCAAACAAAAATCAATGTGTGTTGGGGGGGGGGGATATGGTNCAAAAAGTAGAGGCCATGAAGAAGAGCTTAGAGTTTCTGTGGACAGATGGTGTTCTTTTTATTAGAAAATAACACTAAATATAATGCAACATTTGTGACATCACTTTTTACAAGATATTTTTCTTCTTTTTTTTTTTTTGTATTTATTCCTTACCATGTTGCCAAAAATTCATTGGCATAGAGCTTACGCCAGATTATATACATTTCTTATCATAAGTATTCTTAACTTGGTTGGATTGGATTAGATTTTGAAATATAATGTTGAACCATATTTTGTGTTAATTTTGTTGGATTATATGTTGTGGGATTGCTAAATGATTGAATTAAGGTAGGATTGTGACATGATGGCGAGTTCGATAATTTTGAGTTATGTTTTGTTTATGTTTTGTCTCAAAATAATCTGAACTTTTCTTTGTCTTTAAAATTCAAACTCAGCTGTACTTTATTTTATAGATATACACACAACGATATGTCTCTCCCTCGTTCTTTCTATGTATATATATATATATAGAGAGAGAGAGAGAGAAAGAGATATAGATATAAATTTGTTTGTGTGTTGTGTGTGCGTTTTTGTGTGTTTTGTTTTAACTTTCTGTTGTAAAAAAGAAATAAAAATTATTTCTATATTTTTTTTTTTCTGAAAACAAAAAGCTGACAACGTTACCAAATGCGTCCTAAGTCTCTTTGCTCTATCTTTTTCTCTCTGTGCTTTCTCTTTGGCATTGCACTAAACTGAATTCAATAAAACCACCGAATTCATGATCAAGATAAAAAAAACTTGACCAAGTTAAAGCACGAATGGTATATAAAAGTACAATTATACTTGACAAGTCAAATAATTCGTTGTTTAAGTTCGTTGCTTTTATTAATCAATTCTGGATTTTTTGGTAACATATGTGATCAAACTTTGAAATCTTATGTATGTTTTCTCCTAAAAAGCCTAAATTTAAATGTGGTTGAAGAATTTCACTTGACTAATTTTTATGATCAAATTTTATTTTGTTTCTACCAGAACAATCGTAACTCTGATTTTAGTAAAAATTAAAATAAATTATGCACAAGGTGAATCTTACACAATAGTTGAGATAGTGACATCTGGTTGAACGGGGAAAAGATTCTTAGAACATTGAACAAGGTGAGAAAGGGGTGAGAGATGTGTATGTCATGTCCCTTCCAATACCTAAGTCAGGCGATGTTTAAACTAAGAGTATTGCATAAATTATTTTATTCTTGCGTATATGAGATCCAATCATTTGGGCTATTTATATATTGAGAGGTGATGACATAACATCTCGTGAGTTATATCAAGTCAACACGTTAAAGTAGAACACTCGTAGTAGTAACTTGTGATAGACTAGTTTTCCTCAAGCTGTGCATTTACTAATTATAGGGGAGGTCAATAGTCACTCGAGATAAAATGCCGCAATGATTATCTTGGGAGGCTAAGCATTTAATAGCCTCTGCTAGACGTTTATTAAATTATGAGCATTTAAGTGTTACACCCCGACTATTAAAATGATATATTTCTCGATTGATAAGGACGAAATTTGAGGCATGAGCCTTCATGATCCAAAAGCCCAATGAATCCAGGAGCCCAATGAGTTCAAAAGTCCTTCAATTACACAACAACCCAAAGGGGAGGCCTACAATTCGCCCCGCCTTATTGGCCCAAAAGGCCAAGCTCAAGGGAAAAAGCCCAATATCAGCAGGAGGATTACAATCCAACGCAACTCTAGTCCAACCTAGCCAGTGAACGTCCAAAGGATGGAAACCTGGCCCAAATGTCGTCCCTAAATCGCTCTCATTGCACCATGTATCCTATAGACTCATGGACCACCCCTGACACTTACGATAGCCGCGGAATAGAAAAAGGATGGAGCACGTAGCTATTAGAGATCGTGGCAACAGTAACGCTAGATGAACAATGGTGCTGAATGTCAGAGGGAGCTACAGGGTGCAGAGGGGGAGGACCTATGAGACTAGCACCAAAAGAGGAGGAGCAACAAGAAACCCTAAGAGAACCACTGTATAAATAAATAACCATTACCCAACATAAGGGGATTCGTTCCTTCCCAACACACACTCTCAAAACCAAATACCTAGCAACAAAAAAATATAGTGAACTCATCCCTGTAAAGAACTCAGTTCTATTATCGCCTCTGTATTCACCAGGGATTAAGTAATATACGAACTCAAGGAACAAGAGACTCCCTTGATAGTAGACATAGCCTTAGTCCTTCAGCTAATGTGAACCACTTACATCTTTTTGTTATGTTGTTTTCTATTGACCGGCCATTCATTTAACTGATCCATTAACAACCTCACAACCTCGTCTATTGGGCTTAGGCTGAAATTTCCGAGCATCATCATCGACCAATCCACATCAGCAAGGGGCATACCTTTAACCGCCTTTTTTTGGATCTAGTAAGAGCCCTAATGTAAATGTAATGACACAGTTAATCATTCTATGTTCTCTGTCACGTTATTGGTTCCACACATCTGATCGTTATTAATACTCACTCCAAGGGAATTTTGAGGGAACTTGATCCAATTTCTCAAGATCTCCTCGAGAGATCATATAATCTTGGTGGGGAGAAATTTTTCAATGAATTTAGCATAACATGTGACATTGTTATATGGTGTGCACACCCAATTGAGAGACTGTCACAAAAACAGTTTGTGGGACACACAAGTTTAATTTTTTTAAAAATATATATAAAAATTAACAAGGCGATAAGTGATTGGTGACCACTATTTTTTAGGCATATATAATTTTTTATTGGTGATTGTGTTAAATCCACTGAAAATTTCTCCCGAGTGTGGGTCTTCTTTATCCACGTGTCACTCGATGATAAGAGCGTCGATTCACATCCCATCAAATTAATATTTAAATATCAAAATATTTATATTTTATAATATTTTAAGATATTTCATAATCATAATTATAATTTGTCACACTATTTTTATTCCATTTCAAAAATATATATAAGACATTCGTTTCTGAACTAACGAAAAAATTCATCAAAAGAAAATCTAAATCCTTGGCTAATTGTTGATGATTAACTTGTTTGCTTCCGAGTAATTACATATAGCAAGAAGATAGAAACAGGGCATTGGTTATTATACACTTCAATCATCACCTACCCTGTTTAAACAAGATAGAAACAGGACATTGGTTATTATACACTTTAATCATCACCAATCCTATATCTACTGTAAAGCCATGGGATGTGGGAAAACCTTCACAAAGTTCCATTATTGTTGAAGGTGTTTTAATAATCGTCTACAAAATCCTTGTAATAAAGCAGCCTTGCAAACGTAAAGTTGGAAGCTGTATCTGTCACATTGCCTCAAGTGGGACGTCTCTGATAAAGCTATTACCCTTTTCCCTTAATTTGCAACGTCTTCTCCCCCATTTCTCTCTCTTCCCCCACTACCCATTCTCTGTTTATTCCTAGAAATTCCTCAAAACCCCAGCGGAGGAAACCCAAGGAAATATGATATCAAGTGCCAATAGCTTGGTTTGGATGGACGGTAAAGAAGATGAAGAAACAGCTTCATGGACTCGAAATACCACCAGTACTATTGCCAACAACAGCAATGGCGGTGTGGAGAACAGAGGCGAAGTGGGTACGCTCACAACATTCAAATCAATGCTTGAAGTCGAAGACGATGGCTGGTATGTGAACACAAACAACCTCCAAAACCAACACGACGTCAGAAACCTCACTTTCTCGCCAAACTTCACAGAAGCTGAGGCTAATCTGTTGTTACAACCAATGGACTCGTCTTCTTCATGTTCACTATCATCGGTTTCAGTGTTCAACAATTTCGACCCATCTCAGGTACACTGTTTTTTGCCTCCAAAACCAACCGTGCCTTCGTCGGTTCTAAATGCTATAGAAAATAGCTTCGATTTGGGTAGTGAAACTGCGTTTCTGGAGACCCAAGCTTTAAGTTCTTTGAATAGAGGAAGTGGGCTTTTGACTGGTTTCAGGGATTTGAGCTCAAAATCTCAGATTGGTAATCCTAATTTGTGCTTAGATCCTCATTTGCCAACTACCCATTTGCTTCAATCGCCCGAAAACAGTGGTACAGTCACTGCTGGTTTTGGTTTATCAGGTTTCATGGGTATTGACGAGGGTTCTGGGAGTTCTTTGTTTTTAAATAGGTCCACGTTATTGAAACCACTGGAAAATTTTGCTTCAATTGGAGCACAGCCTACTCTGTTCCAGAAGAGAGCTGCTCTTAGGAAAGTTCTGGGTGATAATGGTAGCGATTTGGAGATTTTAGGCATTGAAAATTGTCGGGGTTCGACAAATGTTGAATGTTTTGGTAAGAAGACGGAAGTGAGTGAAGTGAATGAGAGGAAAAGGAAGAATGACAGTGGGAATGATGTTGAAGATGTGAATATTGATGGTTTTGGTTTGAATCATGACTCTGATGAATTTATGGAGATCACCAAGGTGGAGGAGAGTGCTAAAAATTGTGGGAATAGCTCAAATGCGAATAGTACGGTCACCGGTGGGGATCACAAAGTGAAGAAGAAGGGGCTTCCAGCTAAGAATTTAATGGTTGAACGCCGCCGCCGGAAGAAGCTCAATGATAGGCTTTACATGCTGAGGTCTGTCGTCCCAAAGATTAGCAAGGTAAGAATTTCTTCACAGCGAATTCTAGAGGATTACAATATGTATGACTATCAAGTTTTTGACATTCGGATTCAGTTAGAATTTTTTCCTGAATTTAGTTTCTTTTTGTTTAGTGATTTGCATGTTTTTTCTTCGGATTGTTCCAAATCGAATGCAAATTGAAGATAGACCATAGATTAAATTCACTCTTATGAACTATGGAGGTGTTGTGAAGCTGACCATTATTTTTGGACCCGATATGGTGTTGGGACACTATCACTGAATCTTTTGACAATTTGAACTGTAATGACGAACCTTTTCCAAAGTTAAATTAGTCACTGATAATACTAAACTCTTAAATTAAAACTTTCTTTCACATCCGCCAAGAAACTTGGTTTTCTGGCGACTCTCTTTCACCTCGTAGCCTGCATGAATTCCCATCTATCCTTTGAGTTCTCCCTTGTTAATTTTCCTTTCCTTTCTATGTTATTTCTATTTTCTGGTGTTGGTCATCCTCACAAGTTTATATGTTCTGATTTTGTAGTAATTGAAGATGAGTGTGTTTTGAGTTCAAATCTGTGATCACCATTTATATTAGTAGGTTTTCCACCTAGAGGATGTCAGTCGTGATTTCATGCAAGTTTCTTCCAGATATAAGTTGTAATTTGCATATGAAAGATATACTCTGAACCATCCATATCAAAATGACAAAGTATGGTCAAGCAGCAGGAACACCGTTCTAATGTAAAATATGATGTCCATGCAAATGCCAGTTAAATTTTGGGATTATAGCTTAGCTTAGTATAATCCATGTTTAATTCCATTTGTTTCCTTTTTCAGAAGCTGGGTAAACTATAAAATTGAAGCCTATGTAATGCCACTCCATCCTGTTTCTACTTGAGATTGAAATCTTGAAAAACCATGTGGAGGACACACAACTGAATCTTGAGAAACCTGTACATTCTATACTGCTGATCAAAAGGTTTTTGATTACATGACTTGAGTTCTTGTTGACTAACTTTGTCTGTGACCTTTGAGATGATTATGCCATTGCTCAGCCGAAGCGTTGGTGGGATGCTTTTGAACCTTAACAAGTATGTAATAATATGAGATTGATCATATTTCTCTCGTGTTGACAGATGGACAGGGCTTCCATTCTTGGGGATGCCATTGAGTACTTGGAAGAACTTCTGCAGAAGATCAATGATCTTCAAAATGAACTGGAGTCAACCCCTCCTAGTTCTTCATTGGTGCCTACCACAAGCTTTTATCCTTTAACACCCACCCCACCTACCCTGCCCTCCTGCATTAAGGAAGAACTTTGTCCAAGCTTGTTGCCAAGCCCCACTGGACAGTCTGCAAATGTATAAGCTTCATTCTTCAACAAGTTTGAATTTCCTTTTTTACTTACTGGTTGGGCTGCAAACTTATCTCTTGGCGGTACTACATATGTAAATGGATCAATTCATATATTGTAAAAATTTGTAGGGTAAGAGAGCTTTTAAATTTACTTATTTGCTTTTTCTGCTGTACAATAGGTTGAAGTAAGTGTAAGAAAAGGAAGAGCTGTAAATATCCACATGTTCTGTGGCTGCAGACCAGGGCTCCTGCTGTCAATAATGAGGACTCTGGATAACCTTGGGCTAGACATCCAACAAGCTGTTATCAGCTGCTTCAATGGGTTTGTGTTGGATATCTTCCGAGCTGAGGTGATCTTTTTCTTGTTCTCTAAAATTTTGTAGGATTTGGAATGAATGTGTGTGAAAAAGGGATATAAACTAAGTGCAGAGTCCCGTATATATAGTCAATGAAAGTTACAATAAAGATAAAGAGGTAAAAAGAAAAAACTTAATAAGCCCTAATAAACTAGGTTGTTGCTACATCTCCAACACTCCCTCTCAAGTAAGGCGCAAAAATGTCAACTAAGTCAAGCTTAACAACAGAGTCTTGAAGAATGGATAGAATGACAGGTTTGGTAAAAATATCTGCAACCTGATCACTGGTCCTCACAAACAATGGAGTGACAATATCACTGCTAACCTTCTCCCGAAGAAAGTGAACATCAATCTCTATATGTTTCGTCCTCTTGTGTAATTTAGAGTCAGAAGCAAGCTGAATAGCAGATCGATTATCACAATATAATATAGATGAAGAAGTCACCGAAAATTTCAACTCGCCAAGAATCGGTTGTAGCCAGATAATCTCACACATGCCAAGTGCTAGTACCCGATACTTTGCCTCTCCTGACGAGCGAGAGACAACTGGCTACTTCTTGCTCTTCCAAGAGATAAGATGAGTTTCTCGAAAAGTACAGAAGCCTGTAGTAGGTTGACCGTCACATGTTCCCCCATAATCTAAATTTGAATAATAGGCTAGAGAACCAGTCTGAGATCCTAATGCATAGAATAACCCAAGTCTAGGACAAGACTTGAGGTCCTGAAGAATATAATAAACTGCATCAAAATGAGGCTGACATGGTCTGTGCATGAACTGACTAACTCGGCTGACAGCGAATGAAATGTCTGGCCTAGTGTTGGCTAGGTAGATAAGTCTAACTACCAACCTCTGATAAACAGACGGATCTCTCAACTCCTCACTTTTAGCAGTAAGCTTTAGGTTTTGGAATCATGGGTGATAATGCCGGGTTGCACTCCAGCATCCTAATGTCTGAGAGAAGATTCAGAACATAATTTTTCTGAGAAAGAATAATACATCTGCTGCTACGGGCAACCTTAATCCCAAGAAAGTATCGTAAAAATTCAAGCTCCTTCACATCGAAGGCCTTCCCAAGGTCTATCTTGACCTGCGCAGTCCTGAAAACATCATCTCCAGTAATAATAATATCATCAACATATACTAAAATGATGACACACTGTCCAGAAGTATTCTGTCGAATGAAGCAGGTATGATCAGAATGACATCTGGTGAACTCTAAACGTACAACTACATCACTAAAGCGAGAGAACCAGGCTTGTGGTGACTGTTTTAGTCCATAAAGAGACTTACGCAGTCGATATACCTTTCCAGCATACTTCCCCTCACCACGAAAGTCCAGTGGTGCATCCATATAAATAATCTCATCCAGATCACCGTGAAGAAATGCATTTTTCACATCCAATTGATGAAGAGGCCAAGCGTACTTTGCAGCCAGAGAAATAATCAGTCGAACAGTAGTAAATTTTGTCACGGGAGCAAAGGTAGCACCAAAATTACGACCTGGTACCTGAGTAAAGCCCTTTGCCACAAGCCTAGATTTATGACGATCAATAGTATCATCCGCAATAAACTTCAGGGTGTAAACCCAGCGACAGCCAACAGGCTTCACCCCTGAAGTTAAAGAGACAAGATCTCATGTATGATTACGCTAAAGAGCGTCTATCTCTGTCTACTTGGCAATAACCCACTGGGGCTCCTACATAGCCTCTGAAATAGAGCGAGGAACCAGTGTATCTGATAAGGCCATACTATAAGCCCGAAATATAGGAGACAGATCACCATAAGAAACATAAGTAGAGATCGGGTACAAAATCCTGGCAGTCTAACCATAACGAACAATTGGACAACAATCACACCGTGGATAACGACACTCTAAATCATCATCCTCCACTGACAATGTCTCATTAGGTAAAACAACTGGCTCAGTACCTGCAATCTCATCAGTACTAACAACAAGTGCATTAATATGCTCAACAAACTGAGAAGTATGACCTGCATCGTCTGAGATAGAGAGGACATCAGCAGGGATATGAGAGTAAGGGCGACGAACATAAACTTGCAAAGAAAGAGAGGTCGGTGACTCTGTACTAGGGATGAATGGCTCTGGAGGAGGAGAGACCGATGACTCTGTAGTGATAGTGACCAATTACTCTGGCTCTGGGGGTAATGAAAAATCAAATGAAGTATCATCAACTGGAGGGGCAGACACAGGACTGGAAGAAAAATAAGGAATATGCTCAAGAAAGGTAACATCTAGACTGTGATACATATGACGCCTAACAGGATCATAACACCGATACCCCTTAGACTGATTGTAATAGCCCATAAAGACACAGAATTGTTTTATCATCAAACTTATGACGAGTAGGAGACCGATCTTGAACAAAATATGTGCATCTAAAAACACGAGGAGGGACCGAAAAAAGTGTTCGCTCAGGAAATTAAACCTGTAAGGGAGCCTTATGTTGAAGAACACGACTCGGCGTACGATTGCACAGAAAGGTAAAAAGTCAAAACAGTTAAATGCCAATAAAATTTTGGCACCACCATGCCTCTAAGCATACAACGTAGCATCCCTATCAGACGCCTATTTTTTTTTCAGTAACGCCATTTTGCTCAAGAGTATATGGACAAGTGAGTTGCTGAAAGATACCCTGAGAAGAAAGACGAGACACTAAGGTATCAGACACATATTCCTTGGCATTATCCGAACGAAAAGCACAAACAATAACACCGAATTGTGTCTTAATCATCTATAGAAACTGAGTGATTATAGGGAGTACATCGGACTTCTTATGCAAAAGGTAGACTCAAGTACAACAAATATAGTCATCTATAAATGTCACATAGTATCAGACATTTGACAGAGTAGTAACAGGAGAGGGTCTCCAAATATCAGAGTGTATTAGGTCAAATGACTTGGGTGACTGGTGCATGCGAGAAATATAACTGGTCCTAACATGTTTTGATAAGGAACATATAACACAGTCAAGTTTATCACCAACACAAGCATTGCTCAAAGCTAGAAACAACATACATAAATATTTAAAATTTGTATGTCCAAAACGATCATGCCACAATTGAATAGTTTGTGACGAAAAATCATAACGACAATTACTAGGTAAAATACTAACATACAAGCTAGGAACAGATAAAAATAAAACAGGTGCAGGTGATGTAGGTGGAGGAACTGGTGAAACTGGAGGCGGATCGCCTAGATAATACAATCTATCTCTCTCATTTCCCCTGATAATAATCCTCCTGGTACTCAGGTCTGGCAAATAACACGAATTAGATAAGAACACAACCGCACAGTGAAAATCTCTGGTTAACTGATGTACAAATAATAGATCCATGACCAACTTTGGTGCATGAAAAATTGAACGTTATGTAAAGTCATCTGAGAGGCGGACGGTACCTCTACTAATAATAAGGGCATGTGTCCCATCTATTAACTGAACCTGTGTATGTAACTGCTCGACAAAAGTGGTGAAGTAATGGGCCTCACCTGTCATGNGTACCTCTATTAATAATAAGGGCATGTGTCCCATCTATTAACTGAACCTGTGTATGTAACTGTTCGACAAAAGTGGTGAAGTGATGGGTCTCACCTGTCATATGACCATTCGCCCTCAAGTCTAGCATCCAAATGGGAGACGGACTAGCACAAGCATGAAAGGCACGAGGTATACCTGTAGTGGTGGCTGTAGTAGTAGTCGAACTCGAAGAAGTCATAGCGGACATAAGTCTATCNAGGCACGAGGTATACCTGTAGTGGTGGCTGTAGTAGTAGTCGAACTCTAAGAAGTCATAACGGACATAAGCCTATTCAATCGGGAAATGATAGCATCCATATCACTCTGTCAAGGAGGAACAGTAGGAGCAACGGCAGTAGATGGTGGTATCTCAGCAATAGCAACAGTACGACCCCCAGGAGGCTGCTTAAGCTCCGGATGGAGCTTCCAACAAGCAACCTTGAGATGTCCTGGTCTGCCACAATAATCACACTGACGAGAATTTCCCTGTCTGCGCTGATCTGGAGCACCCTGACGGCGCTGGTCCAAGCGCTGTCCACTTCTGGCTAAGGATCCTGAACGAGACCCGACAGTAGCTGCAAGGGCCATCTGGTCGGCCGGAGGAGTCAAGGCCGCAACTGGAAGGGATGCAATACGGACACGGCGCTCATGGTGCTCAATCATCGCATATACTTCATAAAGAGGCGGAAGTCTCATCATCAACAAGATCTGTGAACGAGGTCCCTCAAACTCATCAAGAAGCCCCATAAGGAACTTGTGAATCCTATCCTCCTGCTCTCGAGTATGCAAGAATGTTACTCCCTCGGGCTCTATCCTCAGAATAGCAATAAGAGGACGTAGAGTTGTATACTCAAGCNACTTGTGAATCCTATCCTCCTACTCTCGAGTATGCAAGGATGTTACTCCCTCAGGCTCTATCCTTAGAATAGCAATAAGAGGACGTAGAGTTGCATACTCAAGTCATAGCTGGGTCAAATAGCCATAATAATCCTGAACTATCAAATCTCCCTGTCGAGCATATGAGAGCTCCTTAGAAAGCTCATAAACATGAACTCCCCGTCCTGATTGGGAATACATCTCTGATAATGCGCTCCACAACTTCGGAATAAAGCTATAAAACTGATGAATCCTGCAAACAGATGGCTCCATCGACCCAAATAATCATCCAAGAATGGCGCAGTTCTCAGAGAACCATGCAGAATATTCAGGGTCGACATCAGCTGACTTTGGGTGAGATCCCATCAGCAAACCAAGCTTCCCTACACAGCCTAGGAAAAGCTGGAATGAGCGAGACCACTCAGCGAAGTTACGGCCATTCTGAGAGATCATGCCCGGCAATGCTGGTAATGCAACTGTGCCAGTAGGTACTGTATACTAGTCAAACATAAAAGTGAAAGTACCAACAGATGCCTAAACGGTACAGGTGTCAATAGTAGAGGACTTAAGTCTCTCAATAGTAGCCATATCAACAATAATACTAAGGCACTCGTGACAGAAAAATAACTCTAAGATAAATAGAGAGATAAAATAATGGAAAACAATATACTTCCAGTCGAACAGTAGCGACAAATAAAAAAAGTCCAAAAAACTCCAAAATAATCAGGTCACAGTGTCCAANCAAAGATGTGGTAGCTTCTGAGCTAAAATTTGTTCCTCAAGATATTCTTTATGATGCAGACCTTCACATCCCAGGATCCACAAATTTCATTACTGATGCGTGGAGCCATAAGTGCTCTTATGATGGGCAGCTAAATGGACTTCTGGGACTGTATAAAGTACGCAGAGAGGAAGAGATTGTGACTGGGCACATTTGGTCCCTGCCAAAGTACAGTAGCAACAAGCAAGAGCAGCTGAAAGAGAGACTCACGCATGCTTACAGTGCCCTCAGGAAAGAGTTCAGGAAAGTTTTTGAGCAAATGGACTCAGATTTTGATCAAGTTTCTGATGATGAGAAGAATGACATTTATGAACAAAAGGCATCAGCATGGTATCAAGTCACTTACCATCCTAGTTGGGTGAAGAGGTCAATGGAGTTGCAAGAGCCAGATGGGGATAGGGAGACAGTAATGTTGAGCTTTGCTTGGATAGCAGTTGATTACCTTGCTCGGATCAAAATTAGGCGTGGAGGAGATGGAAATACTGACCTCACTAAGCCAATCAATGCGTTTGCGCGGTACGTTGCTGATCGTATATGATGGATAATCAAAGCTGTTTGAAGCTTTCTTCTATCGTCGCTTCAAACTTTTCTGGATGCTACGTTCTGGTTGCTTTTGAACTTCCTGGCTTCAAGGCCACTCTGCCATAGTTCAGGTTTGACTGTCATGTTTTATTAATACCCTTGCCTCTGTATGCTGTACTGGTTTGCCTATTCTTGCTATAAACTATGTTTCTGTATTGTTGTAAACATAATGTTGAAAATGCTGTACTTTTGTTTGCATTTTTTGGCTTGAGTAGCTTTAGCATTAACTTGCAAATCTATTTTCAATTTGTGACAATTGGTGCATGAATATGGGAGTATTTGAATGAGTTTCACAGTCAAATACAACACCATTGAAATCCAAAATGAGACAGCTGCTTTGTGAATGGAGTTTTGTTGGATTTATTTATTTACGAAGGGATTAATGAGTGAAAGATCCATTTGTATATAATGGATTCCATTTGAATGCATGGTGGATAACGTGCCAAAAAAAAAATTTGAGGAGAAAGTGTATTGCGGAGAATCTCATTTCATGGAAGGTAGCCCAAAGCCTCATCAGGATCAGGACCGGGGCAAAACCCCACCGAAAAAAATTGGTACTGTTTATAATTTTTTTTGGGTAATGTTTATTAACTTTTAAAGTATATTTACTTTTTGCATGCACTTAACATTTTTTAGACTCATTATATTTTTGGGTGAATTTTTTCACTTTTTTTTTTGGAAAAAAACTAGTTACTTTTTGAAGTTTTCTTCACTTTTCCTTGTAGTACCAAAAAATAAAATTTTAATACTATAACATTCCATGGAAAATGATATGGTTAGTCTTTTTATTTCATGTTTAGGAAATGGTATTCCCACAACCAAATCATCTTTACAATGCACTCATTCGTCGGTATAGTATCGAAAAATGATGGGGTGATACCATTTTATGACTCCATAGATAAGTTTACCCTATTCTTTTTTATTTTTTTTATAAATGGCGTTCTCAAACCCATAAAGACGTTATAAAAATATAACTGATCAAGCTAGTCAAGATGTTTCTTTGAATCCGTTGCTGATTAATGAAACGAAAGGTTATAAGGACAACTTTTCTTGTTCTCACAGTAGTTGGCATTTTTCCAGAAGGGTTATGTACTAACAAGTGTGACTCCTCCCCTTTTTTCAAAGAAAGTAATACTCTATTTCCTTCTTTTGTATTTGATTGGATGGATGAAAAATAAGAACGACTAATTTTTTTTTTGTGTTGGCTAATATTAGGAGTGACAATCGAGTCGTGTCGTGTCAGAATCTTATTGAGTCATATTATAAACAATACCACAAGTAAAATAATAACGCAACGAAATAGAAAAATAGAACACAAAAATTTACGTGGTTCGGCTCAACAAGTAAGTCTGTATCCACGAACGAAACACAACGTCAAAATTTCACTATTGAAAGGTTAGAGATTACAATGTTCTCAGAACAAATCAACGAAAAAACTAGATATCTGCTCTATTCCAATAATAAAATATTTATTAGATTTAACAAAATAGAGCAATATCAATTTATCACACACATAAAAAACTCTTGTACCGTCGTCAATAGCCAACCCCCAACTCACTGGAGAAGACGTTTTTTTTATCTAGCTTTTGGACTAAGGAATTTGATTCCTTCACAAAGTCTTTATGCTGAAGAGGTCTCACGTGTAGGACAAAAAACCAAAGACTCTTTGAAGGCTTTGAGTTTAAACAACGAAAGTCCATGTTGGACTAAACTCCACTAAAATAATAAAATCAAGATAATCCTAATTAAGGTCAAACTTGTTTATCAAGGACTCCAATGAAAACTCATGTCTTCAATTAGAGTCCATATAAAAAAAAATAATTGACTTGAATACAAGTCATCACAACAAATGTTCACCTTGACTTGTATTCCATCTATCCATCCAACCAACGGAACTTGATTGCTGCTTTCGTCAAATACCCCGAAAGGTACACTCAAATAGTGCAGACACCAATCAAGTCCAAGCAATGCTTGAACTTGAACACTGGTACCGGCTTACTAAACATATCTGCTGGGTTCTCCGCTGTAATAACCTTTTTCACTGTGATAATACCTTGAGCCATAACTTCATGAAGGAAGTGATACCTAACATCAATGTGTTTGGTCCTTTCAGGATACATCTGATTTTTGGTCAAATGTATTACACTTTAACTATCACAAAACACAGTAGTTACCTCTTTTTCCAAGCCCAAATCCCAGACCAAACATTTTAACCAAATTGCTTCTTTAACTGCCTCTGATACTGCCATGTATTCTGCCTCTGTGGTAGACAAAGCAACTGTAGACTGTAGGATAGCCCTTCAACTTACAATGCACCAAAAAAAAGTAAAAACATAACCTGTCAGAGATCTCCTTTTATCTAGATCACCCACATAATTTGAATCAACAAAACCAACAATTGTAGAATCGATGTCATCTCTTCTACCAAATACTAAGCCAACATCTGTAGTGCCTCTCAAATAACGAAGTATCCATTTCATAGTCTGCCAATGAACCTTCCCAGGATTAGCCATGTAACAGCTAACCACACTAATTGCCTGTGAAATATCTGGACGAGTACAAACCATAGCATACATGATGCTTCCAACTACACTAGAATAAGGAACAAGAGGCATAAATTGCTCATCATTCTCATTCTGTGGTGATAAAGTTGTTGAAAGCCTAAGTGAATGGCAAGTGGAGTACTCACGGGCTTCAAATTTTGCATCCCAAACCGCTCAGTAACTTTCTCAATATATTTCTTTTGAGATAAATATAACATACCTGCTCTTCTATCCTTGTGAATCTCCATACCCAAAGTTTTCTTTGTAGCACCAAAATTTTTCATCTCAAATTCTGAACTCAACTGTTTCTTCAACCTGTCAATCTCTAACATGCTCTTAGCAGCAATAAGCATGTCATTCACATAAAGCAATAAATATATCAAAGAACCATCTGACAACTGTCTGTGATACACACAATTATCATAATTACTTCTAAAGTAACCATGATCTACTATAAAGGTGTCAAAACGTTTGTACCACTGCTTTGTAGACTGTTTCAAACTATACAATGATTTCTTCAACAAGCAAACATGATCTTCTTTACCTTGAACAATAAATCCCTCTGGTTGATGCATGTAGATAGTTTCCTCTAGCTCATCATGTAAAAAAGCTGTCTTTACATCAAGTTGCTCAAGCTCAAGATTGAGTGAAGCAACCATGGCAAGCAATACACGAATAGAGCTATGATTTACCACTAGTGAGAAAACTTCATTGAAGTCCACACTTTCTCTTTGACTGTAGTCCTTTGCAATTAACCGTGTCTTGTACCTTGCACATTCAATCCCTAGGATTCCCTCCTTTTCCTTGAAGACCCATTTGCAGCCAACAGTCTTCATGCCCTTAGGCAACTTCATTAATTCCCAAGTCTGGTTTTTATGAAGATATTCAATTTCCTCAGCCATAGCAACAACCCAATGTGCAGACTCTTTACATGTGACAACTTTTAAATATGTGCAAGGTTCTTGAACACCAAACTCCTCTGCTATAGTCAGTGCATAAGCCACCAAGTCTGCATACCCATATTTTTGAGGGGGTCTAATTTGCCTCCTCTCCCTTCCTGTTGCAATACTATAATCTTGTTGCTCCTGTGGATTATCACCTGATCTAGAAGCAGGCAAATCTGAAATAGATTGAACTGGAGTACTTTCAAGTACATTCTGTGAAGCTTCTACCTGTAGCTCCACCTCCTTGCTATAATCATGTTCTTTCCTTGTAGAAACTACAAACTCCTTCCTCGAATGAAACATGGAAGATTCATCAAATACAACATCTCTACTGACTATAAACTTAAGTGATTTAGGATCAGAACACCACAATCTATATCCTTTCACACCATTAGCATAACCAATAAATATGCACTTCTTAACCCTAGGCTCAAGTGTACCATCATTCACATGACAATAAAGCAGTGCAACCAAATATATTTAAATCAGAATAATCAGCAAGAGTACCAGACAATACCTCATGTGGAGTCTTCAACTCAATAGCAGTGGATGAAGAACGATTAACCAAATAACAAGTAGTGTTGATAGTCTCAGCCCAAAAATCTTTATACAATCCTATATTAAAAAGCATACAACGTGCTATCTCAAAAAGAGTTATATTCATCCTCTCCGCAACTCCATTTTGCTATGGAGTAGACCGGACAGTACGATGCCTAACAATGCCTTCATCTTTGCAAAATTCATTAAATTCACCTCCACAAAATTCCAAACTATTATCTGTTCTGAGACGCTTGACTTTCTTGCATGTCTGTTTCTCAATCAAAGTTTTACATTGCTTGAAAGTCCCAAAAACATCACTCTTGCATTTCAGAAAATATACCTAAACTTTTCTTGAATAATCATCAATAAAGGTCAAAAGAAACCGATNATAAAGGTCAAAAGGAACCGAGCAGCACCCTTAGATGGAACCTGAGAAGGACCCCAAAGGTCTGAATGAATATAATCAATTGTACCTTTAGTCTTGTGAATAGATGTACTGAACTTGACTCTGCACTATTTCCCAAAGACACAATGCTCACAAAAATCAAGTTTCCCAATTTCTTGTTTGCCAAACAAACGTTGTTTACACAAGACTTCCATGCCCCTCTCGCTCATGTGACCCAAACGCATATGTCATAACTGGGTAGTATCTGAATTTGAAATTTTTGAAGATGACACACCAGTTGCACTAATCACAGTATCACCATGAAGAACATAGAGGCCATTAATTTTTTTACCTTTCATCACAACCAGGGAACCTCTACAAACTTTCATAACTCCACCTTCAGCAGAAAACCTACAACCAATGGAATCGAAAGTACCCAAGGAAATTAAATTCTTCTTTAATTCTGGAATATGTCATACATCTGTCAAAGTTCTCACAACCCCATCATGTGTCTTAATTCGGATAGTACCTATTCCAACAGTCTTGCAAGCAACATTATTTTCCATCAAGACTGAACCACCATTGATTAGCTCATAGGTGATAAACCAATCCCTATTAGGGCACATATGATAGGAACAATCCGAATCAAGAATCCATTCATCATTAAAACGTCCATCAGAGACTATAAGGACATTATCTGAACCATCAGATGTATCTTCTGCAATACCAGCGACACTAGAGGAATTGAAAGGATTTAATTTTTTCTGTCCCTCTTTATTTTTCAACTTAAAACAATCACGCTTATAATAACCAATTTTATGACAATAAAAACATTCAACATTATTCTGTTTCTTCCTAGATTGTGATCGATATCCAGCTTTT